ATACTATTTAGCCATAGAAAGGAACAAGCTATCAACTCACACAAAGACATGAGTGAATCTTGTATGCACATTGCTAAGTGGAAGAAGACAGTCTGAGGAGAATACACACAGTGTGACCTCATTTAATGAGACTGCAGAAAGCAAACTACACAGATGGGAAGCCATTGGCTCCATGGGGTGGGGGTTTGAAGCATTCCGTATGATACTTTAATAGTGGGTACCTGCCACTATGCATTGGTCAAAATATGCAGAATTTTACAACCAAATGGATAAATCAAACTCTATTCAAATTAAATAAAATTACTCAGGATGTGGAGTATCCAAGGACAGAATATATCATGTGAAAAAGAATTTAACTATGCTACAAATTACTATGGTTTGGATGTGGTTTGTCCCTGCAAAAACTCGTGTTGAAATTTGACCCCCAATGTGGCAGTGTGGGGCGGTGGGGCCCAGTGGAACGTGTTTGGGTCATGGGGACAGATCCCTCATGAATAGGTTAATGTCCTCCATGGGGGTGAGTGAGTTCTACTCTCACAGGAATGGATTAATTCCTGCAGGAGTAGGTAGTTAACAAGAGTCTGGGTTGCTTGGCTTCCTTCTTGCTTTCGCTCTTGCTATGTGATCTCTGGTGCACCCCTTGCTCCCGTTCCACTTTCCACCATGAGGTGAAAAAGACTGAGACTCCACCAGATGCAACTGCCCAATCTCAGACATTCCAGCCACCAGCATTGTGAGCCAAAAGGACCTTTTTTACTTGCAAATTACCCAGCCTCAGGTATTCTGTTACAGGAGCATAAAACAGACTAAGACACAAATGTAGGAAAAAACTCACTGAAGGTGTAGGGAAAATGGTGTTGACCTAAGTCACTTTGAAAATGAATAGAATCCGTATGCTGAAGGCAAATGAACTATACTTCATCACTGGATTCCATTTTATAAAGTTCTTTCCAACAGAAGCAATTGTGAACAATTGTAAAACCACACTATGTATATCTGGAATAAAACAATGACTTACATAAGTCGCAGATGGTAGGAACCAGGTCTCTCACTGTTGAAGTGGGAGGTTACAAATTAGCAAGGGGAGAAGGCTAGAATGATTCATGTGATAGTAGATCAGAGATGGAGACATCAACGTAAACTTATGTTTAGTTTAATATAGATACACACAGTTCTACATAGAAAACTTTATAATTAGGTGTGTATAGGTAAGTTAGACACACACATAAACGTCCTAGCATTGCTAATGAGGGACAAGTGCTCATTCAACAATGTGCTCATTCGGCAGCCAGATGTAAGTTTTCCTATCATTCTGAAAGGAATCAGGCTCTTTGAAGAAATGTCTGATACTAGAACTGGGACAGTAAATATAGGAGCCAGGATAATCTTAAAGTATCAGAAAGTAAGTAAGTACTAAAAAAATATATATATATCAATGAAAAATAATAGCCAATAAAAACAGCTACTGATGGCCAACACAGGAATGAATTGTAGTGTTGAATAATAACTAAAGCTGAAAGTAATTATCTAGCTGTCTGTATTTGTATACACAGGTGAATAAGCAAATGGAGTTGCATAGAAATCTCCTTTGCAAAAGAATTCCAAATAATTTATGTAGACACTCAGCCATCAAGAAGGTGGGGCCAACTCCTCACTCCGTAAGTGTGGGCTCCGCAGTGACTTGCTCCAAAAGAACACATGCAGTATGGGCAAGGAGGAAAAATAACTTCAAAGTGGAGAAACCTGACAAACAGTAGCTCTGCCAAATGATCCAAGTGAACATCAAAGGTGACAGTTCACCTTGAGAACATGCAGTGACAATGGGGGACATTCTACAAAATTCCTGACCAATCCTCCTCAGTACTATCAAGGTCAGCATGACATGGAAAGCCTGACACACTGTCACAGCCAGGAAGAGCCCACAGGGATGTGATGACTACGTGTCATGCGGGATCCTGGATGGGATCCTGGGTCAGAGTAAGACAGAACCAAGGGAATCCAGATGAAATATGAACTTTAGTTAATAATAGTCTATCAGTATGGGTTCATTAACTATGACAAATTATATAAGATATTAATAAGCCATGTGAGACACACAGATAGAAGATGTTAATAAGAGCCAAAACTAGGTTGCAGCTACATGGGAAATCTCTGCATTTTTTTTTTCTGTCAATTTCTGTGTGAGTAAAAAAATGATTTAAAATAAAACTTTATTTAAAACACTGTTATATTTTTTGAACACTTCTTTGTTTAATTATTTATACCATGAATTTCTAGTAATTGGCACTGTTAACTAGTCCTTTTTTTAATAAGAGCATTTATGATACAAAAAATTAAACAGTGCAGACTGATATATAAATCAAAATAAATGCTCTTTACATGTTTTCTGTTACAGTAGTCACACATATGTGTAAACTTAATTATCATCTTTTTTTCTTGTGCTGTGGTTATGTCCTGGGTTCATTCTCTAAAATGCTGTTTGCCTTAGACCTGTAAAAAAAATAACCTTACAGACTCTGTTTCAATTCATGGCTAAATATTTTCAAAAGAGTGACTTTGTAAAAACATGTTCTAATGTAAAATTGATTCATTGTGATGGGATCACTTATTCCAAAGACTTCTTGTCTTTATTTTGTGCCCATGCCTACCTTTTAGCTATAATACAACAGAATCAAATATTAGGCACTGGGAAAAAATATTCAAAGAAAGAAAGAATGTGGAGAGAACTTATGACCATGATGATTCAATGTTTTACCACAATGCTTTTTAAAACAGAAGAGTGTAAAAGGATATTCAAAATCAATTTCCTCAGTGAGGCTTTGCAGAAAATGAGGAAACTAGAGAAACAAAAATGGCAGGACATTCTACAGGTGATTTTAGATGTTGCTATGTTTTGTGGGAAAAAAATACTTTTCCCTTTTAAAGAATCACAAAGAATTATTGGAAACCCAAACTCTGGAATGTTTGCAAATTTAGTTGAGCTTCTGTGTAATTATGTCTATATAGCTAGCCACGAAGTTGATGATTTTTAAAAAATCTGTGCCTTATTTGTATAATAAAATGCACAATGAATAATTAATGCTCATACGAAAACATGTTAGACCCTGTGAAGGGAAAATCCATCTTGGGGACCCAAAATCACTAAACTAAAGGGAAAAGTCAAGCTGGGAACTGCTGAGGGCAAATCTGCCTCCCATTCTATCCAAAATCACCCGTCTGCTCACTGAGATAAAGGCATGTTTGATTGCCTCATTTGGAGAGAGTAATCAGCAACGCAAAAGGATGAAACCATTTGTCTCTTACCAACCTATGACCTGGAAACCCCCTGTCTGGCCTTCTGAATTTTCTGGACTGAACCAATGTACATCTTACACATATTGATTGATGTGTCATGTCTCCCTAAAATGTATACAACCAAGCTGAGCCCCTGCCACC